AATTGGCATCCACCGCAATGCAAACATGACTGGAGAGCATATGCAACACGGACGCAGGCTTGCCGTTGGCGACGTCGGTTATCAGAGGGGTCAAGTCATAGTGACGCGCTCGATGGGTTGCTGCATTGACGCAGACAGCAAAAGCAGCGCAGCGGAGACCTTCTCATGAGTGGCGGTTCGCACCATGCGGCAGTGGACATCAGGTGCGCGAATTTAAGCGCCATTTTCGATTCCGTGGTTTTGGCACTGTCTACCAACTTTGGTACAAATCGACTTGGTCTGGGCACAGTCGCACAGACGAGCCCTGCGCGGGGCTGCGCATGCAGCGATATCGCGCGATATTGCGCGATATTGCGCGATATTGCGCGATATTGCGCGATATTAGGCGATATTAGGCGATATTAGGCGATCATTCGCGATACACCGAAAATTCCCTCTAGAGCAGGGATGTGTTATGAGTTGCTATGAGTTGCTATGAGGTGTTATGGTAGGGTGGGCATAATAGCCATAACAGCGGTGGGGAGGTGTTATGAGGTGTTATGAGGTGTTAATGGGGTGTTATGAGCTGCCAGCCATAACAGCCATTATAACACCTGTTTGTGGCCGCATTGCATATGACCTTGTTTGAAGCCAATATATCGTGGGCGACGCCCGTCCGCAGCTGACACGTCGTGGTGACCTGGTGACGATGATGGCGAGGAGATCACAGTGGAGAGGAGCGGCACGGCCCTGCCTGGGCTCGCTCGAGTTAGCGGTCTAGGCGCGGCACGGCTGTTTCATCTCAGTGCTTGGCGCGCCGCGAAAATTTCTTCCCCGCCCGCTGGCTTCTTCGTACTCTCGTGAGGCTGTGAAAGCACGCCCACCCAGCGGGATTGGGCCCCGAACGAAGGCAAGTGCGTCTGATTCAGAAAGAAAGAAAGAAAACAGACAACCCAAGGGAGGGATGGGAGGACGGCACGCCGCCACCACACAGGGATTTTAAGGAGAGGCCGTGCGTCTGATTCACAGCTGAGCAGAGTTGGTCGTCGGATTCTTGTTGTGCCGGAGGGAGTTTGGAGCTCTTCGAGTTTGTCTAAAATTCACCGATCTTCAAGTGAGCCCCCCCGGGGGACCATCGGTGCCCCGAGCTCCCACCGCCGAGACGCGTAGAGCTCAGCGACGCTCTCCTCGCCAATGTCCACCCACGAGCCGCCTGCTGCCTTCTCGTGGCTCAACCTCCGCGCCGAGCTGACCGGCAAGCAGGCTCGTGTGTTGATCGACGGCGCCAGCGGCACCGCACGCCGCGGGCGGGTGCTGGCGATCATCGGCCCGTCCGGCGCCGGCAAATCGACGCTCCTGCAGGCACTCGCTGGCCGCCTCGACCGCTCGAGCAAGCTGCGGCTCTCGGGCACGCTCGCGCCTCCGCCCTCGCGTCCCGGCGCCTTTGTTTACCAAGAGGACGCCTTCTTCAGCCGCCTCACCGTCGCCGAGACGCTGCGGTTCGCGGCGGCGCTGCGTGCGGCACAGTCCACGAGCGTGGCCGACGTGCTTGCCGCCATGGGCCTCGCCGAGGTAGCCTCGTCCGCCGTCGGCGGCGGAAAGGTGCGCGGCATTTCAGGCGGCGAGCGGAAGCGGCTCGCGATTGGCTGCGCGCTCCTCGCCGTGGACGGCCG